TCCAGCTCCCCTCCTCCCCAGCCTCCAGCTCTATTCCTCCCTACCCTCCAGCTCCACTCCTCCCCACCCTCCAGCTCCACTCCTCCCCACCCTCCAGCTCTTACATCTTCCCTGCCTCCTCTTCTGTGATGTTCCCTGAGCTTTGGCAGGAGTGGGAGGACTGATAAAGATGTTCTGTTTAGGGCCAAGAACTCAGTTGTTTATTCTCAAGCACTTGGACCAAAAGCTACTAAATTTGATGTCTGCATTGAGTTCAATATTTTATCCTGAGCTTTTTTTCCCCCTTTAGCTTTACCGGATAATGTATATACATACATATATTCATTATGAGTTATTCCAGGGTTTGTTCTGGGGTTGAAATCATAAATGTCAAATCAATCACAGAAATAATTCTAAAATGGAATTTGTTAAGTAGGTATCAATATATAACTTATAGATGTATCTGACACATGTAGAGAAATTCTGTTCTTATTAAATGACAAAGGGATAATCTGAAATATTTCTTGGTGTTTTAAATGTACCCACATTTTCAAAACATTACGTTTATAAAATATGAAAAAGAAAGCCTCAAATCTAAAAATCTTTGTGGATAGTCTGCTGTCTTAATTATTTCCTTACAGGTGTTAAGAAGCACAATTTTAAACCCTAAAGCTTAAGTATCTCTTAGGACTGGGGACCTGGCTCAGTTCGTAGACTGCTTGCCATACAAGCACAACTATCTGACTCTAATCCCCCAGGAGACACAGAAGAGTCTGATATGGCAGCATGCACCCGCCAGGCTAGCCCTGCAGATGTGGAGACTGCAAGATACCCAGGACTCACTGGCCAGCCTGTCTAGCTGATCAGTGAGCTCCAGGTTCAGTAAGAGACCCTGCCTCAAAGAAACAGTGGAGAGCAAGTGAGGATGACTTACAGTGTCAACCTCTGGGTTCTATAGGCACTATACATATGGCACGCACACAGGTGCACACACATACACACACGTGTACACACATACACACACACACACACACACACACACACACACACACACACACACCACACATCCTCTTAAGAACCTAACAAATTTTATGTACAGAAAAAATGTTGCTTACATGGAACTGTATTTATAGCCCCCTCTTTCCCAAAAGGACTTAATAAGATTGTTTTTTAAAGGTGTGGTAACGAATAAAAGGCAAGCGTGGGGTGTGCAGTGGCTTGGGTAAATACCCAAAGGCCTACGTGTTCAAGGCTCATTCCTTAGTCTGAGGTTCTACTGGGAGATGGTGTGACATTTAAGAGGTGGAGCCTAGTAGGAGACAGGCTGTTTATTGGGCACAGCCCTCATAGAGAATATTGGGATCCAGTATTTTCCTGTGTTTATTCTGCTTCTCAGCTACCATGAACAATTTCCTGTACTACATACTTCCAAAAGGACAAGAGATAGGGACAGTCAATGCTAGACTGGAACCTACAAAGTTGGATCCCCAAGAAACCATTCCCTTGTATGTAGAGTGTATGGGATGAGAGTGGGGGTAAGATAGTGTCTGGCTGTCTTGAAACTTCTGGTAATCCTTCTGTCTCAGCCTCTAAAGTGCTTGGATTACCATGCCCAACAACTTTTTAAGATGATTATCTCAAGTGTTTTGTGACAATAGCAGAAAGCCGACTAACCCAGGGTGAAAGAAACCTGTCCAGTGAGCTTAGACATATAAGGAGTGAAGCAGAAACAGACTGAACAATTGGCTTCACCCAGAATCAGTCCGTTCAAAGAGGGTGTATGATTAGGCACAAGTCTTGCACTGTCTGTAAGGAACAATCTCATTATATCAGAAGCAATATTGACTTTTCCAGTACAAATACAAGAAAGAAATTTCATCAGCGTGTTCTTTCACACCATTCTTTTCTAGGAGGCAGTTCCTGGGAGCTGTTTTTATTCTGACCCTTAGTAAAGTGGCATGTCACTGTGTCAACGGAGTTTGGTAAGAGTGGTTCTGTAAGGTGGCACCAACTGCATGGCTTTTCATGTGGAGGTAAGGATTATTCAGAATCTGGAGGGATGCTGGAATTGCCCATCTGGGTCCTCTGTTAACAGGGTGTCTCTTGGGCCCATCTTTAGAAAGACATTGAACAGCATGTAGTGACACTCCCTGGGGAGGCTCGTTGGAGCTGTGTGGTTAAGTGCAGAAGCCTATACTTTAAAAAGCACAGAACTGGAGGAGGATTGGCATTCCTGTTGAAAGATTAAGAAGGTGAAGAGTGGGAGTCTGGGGTGGGGGACAGGCCAGCCTTCTGCTTCGACAGTGATTTGGGGGTGGGGAGTTAAAAAGCTTCTGCTTGCATTGTGTCTTACCACTTTAGCTGTGTAGGGATGTCCTCCAGGGATGAAGGAACTCTCAAAAAAAGATGCCCCTGTCCATCAAATGCAGTGAGTGCTGTCTTATCCAGAAGCCACTTTTGGCTTTTTAATGATTCAACGTTGAAATGTAAATGGTTATTGAGGCGTTTCAAGAAGTAGCTGTAAAATGAAGATTTTGTGATCTCCTTGTAAAACTTTTCATGAAGAGTATTTTTAAAACTGATTTGTTCCTCAAGGAGCATATCCTTTTAAAGTACAGTACTAAGTCACTGAACTATAAAATGATTCTTTTTCCAGCACAGATGACTCCTTTTAAAATAAGTCTGACTTACTGCAGTTTTCTAACCAGGAAAGTATTTCCCATTCTAAAAATTAGTTCCATTTGATATTTTCTACTTAAAAATAAAAAAATTGAGACTACCTTATTCTATTTTACTTATTTTTGCTGTGCTGAAGATTTCACATAGGGCCTCACACATGATAGGTAAGTGCTCTACTGCTGAGCTACTGCCCCAGTTCATAATTTACTATGAAATATTCTTTTATATATTTTCCTATCATGTGCAAGGGATGTTCTGGATTTGATCCAAAACATTGAGAAAGAGATACAAGGGGATGGAGATATGGCTAAGAGGTTAAGAGCACTGCTGTTCTTCCAGAGACAGAGATACAGAGACAGACATAGAGATAGATAGATAGATAGATAGATAGATAGATAGATAGATAGATAGATGAATATATTTTTACATATAAACACATAAAAATTCCATAGTTATACAGTCTGGCAATTTGAGCTCCTTCACACTTGGGTTACAATGGCAGCAAATTCCAAATGAGCTTCAGATATCTTTGTACAGACAATACAGACTTCAAGGCAAATTTCCAGTTTGGCAGGAAGTGTCTCTATCCATTGAGCCATTTTACCAGGCCAGAATAAAAAAATATGTATGGAATCATTGACCCTGATACCAGTGATGATTATAAATCATTTTAACTTCATCTTTCTTCATGTTTCTCCTCCATAAATGGTTAGAAAAATACTATAGAAGAAAAGTATTTAACTGATTTAAAACATAACTATAGTGAAGAATAATCTTTTGAGGTAGGGA